GCTGGATGAACGATTTTATACATGTTTTAAATGATTTAAACTGTATATGTATTTTATATCTACAAAATATGTTGGGTAAAACATGGGTAGATGAATGATGAGGGATGAAAGCTGATATAGAGGAACATTGACAGTATGGACATAGTGCCCTATAGGTGAACATTGGCAGCAATGGACCTAGTACCCTATAGATGAGCATTGGCAGCTGCGCCACAACCTGTAGATGTTTTGATCTACGATGTACTCTAAACATCCTAGCAGTTGCGCTCTAAGGATAGTATCGGCAGCTACGCCTAATAGAGAACATCATAACCGTGGCAGTTGCACCTAATAGAGAATGTCACAATTCTGGCAGTTGCGCCTAGATGATAATATTGGCAGCTGTGCTTAATAGATAATATTGACATCTGTGTCATTGGCAATGATTGACTTCATGCCTACTCCTTAGGACAATCGTTAGGACTGAATGAGTGAATGATAAATGATTCTTAGGGTAGATCCTTAAGACATAAATAAGATAATGGTGATGGGTAATTGGGTTGATTCTTTAATGATTAAACATAATTATATTATTGTGGGTTGAAAACCCTATGTACTCACCTGGTTTCCCAACCTGACCCACTCAGTTTATTTGTATCACATGTATCGATATAAAGCTACACTACACTGAGAGATTAAAGAGGTGTAGATCACTAGTGTAAATGAATGTAAGTTCTGTTTATGCTTATGTTTCTGTATTGACGGTGACATCCCAAAGTTTTAAAATGAATAAAATAAATTTCTTCGGAAATGCTTTGATAACATATTTATCATGTTTTTCTGGGAACAAATTCCGCAACACTTTTATTTAAAAGGTTACTCTGATTTTAAAATAAGCGTAAATAAAATTTTTAAAATGACCGTGAATTTGGGGATGTCACAAAAATCCCAACACTTATGACCTGCTATCGGAGGTTTAGCCGGTTTTCGGCGTATTGACAGTTTCGATGATGTTTTAGTCATCTTCTCCGGCAAGGCTCCGATCATCTTCTCCAGCCAACAATGTTTTCTCCGGCAAGTTGTAACACACAAGCAAGGTTTCGATTTTCATATCTAGAACACACATCACACTCATATTTAATTTTCATATTAAGAACACACATACATCAGATCCAAATTTTTGAACTCTATTAAAGCATCAGATATGAGGCAAAGAACTGTGATGAAAATCAGAACTCAGTTCATGTTCTCTTCATCAGAAATCATGATGATTACAAAAATTGTGATGAACCCAAACACATAAAAACGATTTCTGAGTGTGTGTTCGTGTTCATCTTTTTATGGGTTTGTTCTTCAAACAAATGCATATGAACAAACACACCTCATTTGCAAACATGTACAAGAAGTCAGACATATAGATGACACGGGTTCTTGAAAATCTTCATTAGATTTAAAAATCTGACTCCTTCATCAGATCTGCAAATCCGAGTACTTCACCAATTCTTGAAAATATTTTGTTCTAGACACCTAGGTTATGAAATCAATTATGAAATTAGTGTGTGGTCATGTGTGTGTGTGTGTTTATGTTCTTCATCATATCTGAAAATAGACATCAAGATGAAGAACTCAAATAATTTATGGGTTTATTCCCTGAGATGCGCCACTTGACCCCTAGAGCACCACCCATCTCCTTCATCGTGATCATATTTTTCCTAAAAGCTTTGGAGCGATTTTTAGATCTCAAATCAAACGAGCTCCAGAAGTGTTTGTGTGTATGTGTTCATGCTTGAACATCAGATCTGAAATCAAATGATCTTCAAGCTTTGGAACGATTTTAATATATGTGTATGTGTTCATGCTCGATTTTGGAACAACACACATACACTTCTCTCTTCTCTTTTTTTTTAAGTCGATTTTTAGATTTGTTTATGTGTTCATGCCCATGAGAAAAGAGAACAAATTTGATTTTTATGTAACAGATCTGATGTTTATTAGAGTTCTTGAGTTCATGAGAAAAGAGAAGAAAAAGATACTAAAAACCTTGAATCTGAAACCGATGTGATGTTTATGTATGTGTGTTCATCTTCGCCGGAAAATTTTTGAACGCCGGAGGCTCGCCGGAGAAGATGATTGGAGCTTTGTCGGAGCTGTCAAATACGCCGGAAACTGGCTAAACCTCCGATAGGTCATAATGATGTTTTTTGAACGGTTCAACAAGTTCAATGGAAAAATATGGACAAAAAAAAAAAAAAACTCAGTGACTAAATATTAAAAAATCAAAAAATATATTACATTTTTAAGTCATTATCTCTTAAAAGTTCTTTATTATATGGATATATCTATAATTTAAGCCTTAAATATATTATGATAAAGAATTGTACTAAATAAGTGATCTAGCCATTAAGTGTCGGTCAATAGAAGATATATAAAATGGAAATGATTATTTCATTTCTTTGTATATTTTCCATTTGGAATGTAAATTGTCAAAATAATTAAAATGGAAAAGATTATGAATTATAAAAATTATCAGCTATCTATCAATATAAAATTATCTGTTATCTGTTAATGATAAAATTATATATTATATGTTTTTGATGAAGTATTGTTTGTTCTATAATTATACATTTATCAACATTTGCTGCTTACATCATCTGTTTATAACTATAATAAATTAAAAGAAATTAAATATCCTTGTACATTTTACTAGTTGTGTACCCGCACAAAGCGGCGGATGACCAAGGGGAGGGGGCGAGTAGTTTCTTTCGGAGATTACGGTTGTTTCTCGGTGGGGGTGCAACAGATCCTTATAACTTCAAGTTATACGAGGCCCATGTCAACGATGGGGGAGATTCGCTGCTAGGACGGAGTAGATGGTTGTATCAGCAAAGTGTTTTATTGATCTTCATATCATAGGCAGACTTGGTGGTGTCGTTTGTTGGCACTGTGGTCATTTGCATTTTCCATATTCACAATAATAATTCATATTCACAATAAGAATCCATGTTCACAATAAGAAATCACAATAAGTACAACATGAGTGTTTTAGGGGGTCCATATTCACAAAAAGGAATTCACACGAAAGGAAACCACCATTCATGAGCATTGTCTTTGAGATGATATATTTAAATCTTAAAAAGCAAATGCGTGGTGATTATTAAAGTTTAGCTATTCATGATAAAGATTACCCCACTTGAGTAATGGTCTACACGTAAACCACTTAGTATACCCTCTCTGCTATAACCGTTAATTCTCGGAGCGAGATACGTTTGTATAAATCTATATGGGTTGACACCCCCACTTGTGGTTGCTAGCTACAACCACGACGGATCAATCGAAGCGGGTGATAATTATCTTTAGTCTCTATCCACGACGTCGAATGAAGCGTCGCAAGAGGTTATATCTAGTCACATAGCTCGGTTATAGGAATCACTATAAATATTAACTGGTTTATTTATCTAGAAACCATGGATTCAATTTCTCATTTTATCAAACACTTCCGAAACATGATTTTATTTACAAAAGAAATACTTTTCAAACTTTTTAAAAGTATCTTTACTGCGGTTAGCAGAAAACATGTAACTCTCACCAACCTTTGTATTGACTCTTAAACTACATGTATTCTTAGAAGATCATTGAACCAACTTTTAGCAGAAGAAATGTTCATGAATTTCGGGCAATCTAGTTTTATTTAGTTTTTGTTATATCTTCCTACTTGTTAAGGCAATTTCATGAACTTATTATTAGTATTTGTATGAACATTGTATTCAAACCTTAAAGTAGAATGTGATTGCAATGTTGTTATTGCTGTAACTTGTGATGTACATTCAATATGTTTGTGATCCATGAACTAAGTCGCACAGCCCGACATGTTCCGCCGCTTCGGCCGGGGGTGTGACACAGAGCAAATCTTAAAAATTATATTATAGATATACGTGGAGATGGAGTGTTTAATAAATTGAAAGGATTTAGAAACTTGACAAAGATGATGGTCGAAACAAACAAGCATATAATATATCTAATGATATATCTTCTACTAAAACTAGCATTGGTTTTGCGGTTGCAACATCCATCGTGGAACGAACACATTTTACAATGAAGTTGATAAAGAACGATTTATGCAATAAGATGAGTGATTAATTTATGAATGATTATCTAGTGTCATATTGAGAAATATGTGTTAGATAGTATTAACAACGATGCACTTATATGTTATTTTATAGGGAAATCTCATATAAAATCTCAATATTTTGGGCCAGTTTACGGTTTAATCCCAACATCTATTTTTTGAACTAGAAAAGTCTCGATTATCTAATTTTATACGATAATCTGTCATTTTCCGTTGAAAAAAATAAGGATTATTTTGTTAATTTGAGCAAAATATAAAATAATCAGGGTTTTTCTGTTTAAAAAATAAAAGTTTGGATTAAGCCGTAAATTGGTCCAAAATATTAGTACTTTATTAGAGATTTCCCTATTTTATAAATATGAATATGAAACCTCATCATGAATAATCGTAAGATATTAACTAATAATATTTTTAGAACTACGGTTGGTCTTTGGTATTATATTTAATAGTATTTTGGTTTAGATTTTATTATTATAGTCCAACCCAATAAAAAATAAATATCAACCCATTTGTTGTGTACCCTATTTAGTTTGGAACCCAATAAAAAATAAATATCAACCCATTTGTTGTGTACCCGGACACTTGAATTTTAATCATAGATTCACCGCTGTTCACTTTGTTACTTTCCATAAGCTTTTTGTGGTGAAAAATCTCATATGGATACTTTTAGATGGGAAAAATCAAAGATCCCAAAATTGAAAGAAAAATACACATTAACGACCAAAATTGTAAAAATAAAAGCTTAGTTCCCAAAACTGAAAAACAAAGAAACGTAGAAAGCACTTGTAATTCACTATAGCTATTATTCAGATTTTCTTATTACCGTCGGATCCAGATGTAGTTGCTATTAAAGGTACAGATTGCCCAAGAACACCTTAATAATTCTGAGCCGCGATATACAGAATAATTCATCAAAAGGAAATGTTGGTGTTTAGATCTTCGAAGACGAGTCTTCAGTGTGCGTTCCCAAACAAGCCCTAAATATGGAAGAAAAGCACAATTCACCGGCGACCGCCACCGAAACGGCACTACAATCGTCGGCTGAGCCACCATCTTCAAGGAGAAGAGGCGGAGGTTTGAAGAGGAAAGCCTCGAATATTAGCAACAGCATCACATCCACTCCGCCTCCGTCGTCTTCGAAGCGTCAAACTCGAGAGAAACCCTCCCCAGTACTGTTCCCTCCGATCCACAATGGACCGTGCACCAGAGCTCGCCTACAACCAAATTACACCGATTCCACGGCATTTTGGGACGCGGTGATTGTAAATGGCGAAGGAGAAGGTTCAATGTTGTCCACGCCGGTGGCGGCGAAGGTGGAGGAGGAGTTGATTGCTAGAAAAGAAGCTTGGGAGGCGTTGGAATTGAAGATAGAAGCTGAATATGACGACTTAAAGTCGCGTGATGCTAATGCCCATGTTGCACCAATTTCTTCTGGTAAGTAAATGTAGCTTGTTCAAATCACTTATAATCGTATTCCTTTGTGTGCATGCTTAGTTTGTTTGCAGCTAAATGTTATTGCCTTTGCTTTGTTAAATTTTAAAAATGCATGATCAGCCCAAGTTGTAGTTGTAGTTGAAGTTGCAGAGAATATTGTGTTTCTTAGATTCAGTAGATACGAAATGATGCAGCATTATGATCATGATTTTCAAATTTACGAACCTTAATATGAAAGATAAACCGAGATAATTCAGGATGGATGTATAGGTATCGTTATTGCAATATACCTAGCTTTATCTTATTCAGGCCATCCTACAAAATCATGAATAGAACTTCTTTGCATAGACATCTTAACTCAGAGATATAGTCATACTTGAGTTGAGAAAAACGTTTTTGTTGCCATTAACAATCTTTATCTGACAGCCAGTAGAGAATAGAGATAACTTTTTTATGATTTAAGGGCATGAACATGTTATCTTTTGGCATTAGCGTTGGACATGCTGCTAAGATATGTTCACTATAAACCTATAATTTGTTAGAATTAGCAAAAAGGATATGCAAAATCAGGCTCTTCTTTTAGTACATACTGGAATCAATGTAGTCTTGGGACTTTCTGTATTGGACATTGCCGATTAATAACCATTTTGGGAACTGGGATTCTTTAAGCTGTTACATACTTTATTTCTTAAAGACATTCCAGTTTGCTTTATTGTTATTAAGAATAGCATTGTAGCATAGAAATATTCCTAATTCCTAAACGAAATAAATAGACTTGATCCATATAAATTGTCATACACATACTGCAAACTGACACAAAGACTTTCATAGGTTGGTTCTCATGGACAAAATTTCATCCATTAGAGGAGAGAGCATTGCCTTCTTTCTTCAATGGAAAGTTGGAGAATCGGACTCCTGAAATCTACATGGAGATACGTAACTCCATTATGAAAAAATTTCACACAAATCCCAACACCCAATTAGAAGAAAAAGATCTTTCTGAAATCTCAGTTGGAGAATTAGATGCCAAGAAAGAAGTAATGGAGTTTCTAGACTATTGGGGTTTGATCAATTATCACCCATTCCCTGAGACAGATCTCCCTACCTCCATGGCTGATGCTGAAGAATCTGAAGAAGCTGAAAAAGCTGAAAAAGCTGAGAAAGTAAATTCATTAATACAAAAATTATATGAGTTTGAAGTGGAGCAATTGTGTACGCCAGCTGTCCCGAGGAGTAGTTTTGCAACGCCAGCTGTCACATCCAGGTTGCCTGAGTCAATCATAGCTGATGAATCATTGCAGCCTGAAGGACCTTCTGTTGAGTATCACTGTAATTCATGTGCAGCTGATTGCTCTAGAAAACGTTACCATTGTCAGAAACAGGTCTGTTGTTTCTTTTAGATTTCTATTTCAATGTTAATAATTGTAATTTCATCATCTTTATGTTATTATTATCATAGTTATGTGCTTTTTGTTGACCAAATTCTGTTAGGCAGGCAGATTATGACTTATGTACTGAATGCTTCAATGCTGGAAAGTTTGATTCCGACATGTCACCATCTGATTTCATCCTCATGGAGCCTGCTGATGCTGCTGTTACAAGTAGTGGGAAATGGACAGATCAAGAGACACTACTTCTTCTAGAAGCTTTGGAACTCTTTAGTGAAAACTGGAATGAGATTGCTGAACATGTGGCCACAAAAACCAAAGCCCAATGTATTCTACACTTTGTTCAAATGCCAATTGAAGATACTTTTCGCGATTGTGATGATGAAGATGATGATGATTCAAGTCATAAGGAGAAGGATTTGAAGAAAGATGAAAGTTGTAATGAGAATGAAGAAAAGAAAGAAGTTGATGAAAATGATGAGAAAGTGGAAGGTGATGTGGATGGAATCAGTGATTCTGTTGATGTGAAAGAAACTGAGGAGTCGAAAGCATTGGTGGAGAATGATGATTCGCCTCCTGATGATTCCTCTCCAATGGAGGTTTCGGAATCAGTGATTCCTGGGAATTTGAAAGATAATCAAGAAAATGGTGTGGATATTGCAGTGAAAGCATTGAAAGAAGCTTTTGAGGTTGTGGGGTCTCTTTCTTCCATTGATGAGAAGCTTTCTTTTGCTGATGCTGGTAACCCTGTCATGGCAATGGTAAGTTATTCTTGTTTCTTAGTTTTAAAGTTTTCCAAAAATACCCTTTGTAATTTTAGCTTTTTACAGATTTGACTTGCATATTTTTTATTACAATAACTTTATAAATCATATATTTAGGCAATTATAACCAAAATAAATTATTCAAATATAATTAATTATCATATTATCAAAACAACCATTTTATTAAATAAAAAAACACATTCAACACACATTTTATGCAAATATGGTTTACAAATAATTTACAAGTAACAAATCTTACATATTTATCATTATATAAAAATACCGAATTACAATTTGTGATTTATGTAACAAATAAAAACTGATTTTTATTTTTTCAGGCAGCATTTTTAACTCGATTAGTGGACCCCAACATTGCAACAGCAACAGCCCGAAATTCTTTGAAATCCGTGTCAAGTGGGGCCACTGGCTTGCAACTGTCTGCAAGGCATTCGTTTGTTATTGAAGATCCTATCGATGAGAAGAAGAAACCAGAAGAAACCGAGAGGTCAAAAGGGCATTTCCGTAATTTTCCATTTAATTCAACTTTTTACAAATTTAAACTGACATTAAAAGGTTATATATTATGCAGAGATGATGTACAGGAAGAGGATTCGAAAGAAAAAACTGATTCTGACAAGGAGGGTATAAATGGAAATGAAAAAAGAGAAGGGATTGGTGGTTGCTGATGAAAAAAAGGAAGATGGGGTGGTTACAACAGAAGCGGTGGTTTCTAAAAAAGGAAAGAATACACGAAGAAAGGTAAGGAAGGTAAGGAATCGGTTGTTGTTGAAGAAAGTAATGAGCAAAAATCTGAAGCTGAGAATTTTTCAAATTCTAAAAAAGCGTGTGAAGATTCTGATGAAAGTGTTCCAAAAGATGAGGAGATGTCAGAGAAGACAGAGCCTCATGAACCTAATTATGATACTTCAATGGCTGAAAACACAGAAAATTCAGGTATTTCATTTCTTCAAAACTTACAATGATTATTAAAAGATTATTTTTTATTTAATTGATTGGCAATGTTCATTTATGATGTAGGGGAGGCAGAAGCAAAAGAGTGTAAGAATGTGAAGAAACAAGCACCAGAGGCAGAAACTAAAAATGACCAAAATATCCTTAACATGACACGTGCAGCTGTCACTGCCATCTCAGCTGCAGCAGTCAAGGCAAAATTACTTGCAGATCAGGAAGAAGACCAGATTCGGAAACTTGCCACATCATTGATAGAAAAACAGGTAAAATTTATACTATTTTCAATGATAAGGGCATTTATGTCTTTTTACATAAACACACAAGTCCTAATTCGACCTTTTTAGGTGGGACAAATATTTTTCAGTTTGTCCCATTGACATCAGTCTCGGTCCAATGCATGTCAAACACAGGACAACAGACGTTCTTTTGTGATTCCATTTTGTTCAATAGTAAGGATAAGAAGGGCATTTACGTCTTTTTACATTGCAGTTGCAGAAATTGGAAACGAAGTTGGCTTTCTTCACGGAAATGGATGGTGTGGTGGCACGGGCAAGGGACCAATTAGAACGGTCAAAGCAAAGACTGTACCATGAACGTGCCCAAATAATTGCCGCCCGTTTGGGGATGTCATCCACCACCGCCGCCGCTAGGCCCATCCCACAACCACCAAGGGCAGGAATGTCATTTCCAAATCCAACACAAAGACCTCCAAATCCAAATCCAAATCCAATGACAAATCCCATGACCATGACTCCGCCTCAAAGACCGCCACCTTCAAGACCCATGACGATGGCACCAACGCCACCTCCACCGCCGCCTCCCACAGTCGCCGGAAACCCGTCGTCGGTTGGAATGAAGTGAGGGGAGGGCAAAATTGTAATTTGGCATTGTGTTGTACCACACGAAAGTTCTAACAAGTTTTTAGTGAGTTACAAAGGACTATGGTGGAAATTAAAATCTTGGGTTTCTAATGTTAGAGGTGGTATGTTAATGTTAATGAGTTTTTTTTATTATTATTTTGGATTATGGTTTTTTAATATTTAATGTTTAATGTTGTGTAGATATAGAGGGATTGTAAGTGTGTGTTTTGGAACTAGAAGGGTGTCTTTGTTAACTTTTTAAGGTCTGGGTAGGTATTTGTATGTTTGGTTGTGGATACTTTTTCATTTTTAGTTGTATTTTAGTGTACTTTAATTGTTAAAAGCCATGAATTTTTTGCTTTGTTTGACGTTTGAAAATATGAACTGTTTTGTTAGTTTCTTGCTCTTAGAATATCTCCAATGGATAATTTATAAAATGCTCCCTACTTTTTTATATAATATTTTCACCAACATTTATTTTAAAAATCTTACATGAAAAACTCAATTTAATATATTTTTCTTTTATTTTAAGTAACAAGTTTATCATCGTCCATTTTTTTTTCTAATTTGTCCTTTTTAAATACATATTATATTTTTTACATATATATTCATTTTTGTTTTATATATACTTAATAAAATAGAATAAGTAGTCAAGAAATAATAAACATTTTATCTGTAAATACAAATTAAGGTTTAAAATGAAATATTATTAAGTGTAAGAGACAAAATATATAAGAGCAATAAGTGGTTTGAGTGACGTTTATAAAAATTTCGCATCTCAAATTATAAAAACCTTGTGAATGGGTTTTCCAAATAGCTAAAAGCTTTTGAAAAGCTATAACTAAAAATGGCATCAGAACATTTCCAAATTCAATGGTTGGGGATTTTTTTTATTCTTTTTTTTTCTGCACTACACAGTCTATGTGGCAAAATTTTGTTGCACTTTTGGTCTTTGTTCGTTATAAAACTAGTGTTATATCTGTCCAAAACTTTTTTTTTTTTAATTTGTTAAGTAACAAGTGTTATACCTGTTCAAAACTATATGGTTGGGGATTTTTTAAGTAACAAGTTTATACCCATCCAATGGATCGATTTTACTTTCTTTTATAACATTTTACTTTTATTTGTTCCCATAATAGCATTGTACTATGACAAATTACCTGATTATAGTTATATCACTCACATAAACTGTGATAATAATAGAGCTAAATATTTAATACTTAATGTAAATAAGCAATACCCTAACATTGCAACTAAATTAAAAAGAAATTATCTTTCGTGGGATTGAACCGGCGTCTAAGTAATAAGTCATGCACACTAATCAAATTTACTACACGATACGTTATATTTTAACCTCACCATTTATGTAATTATTAAAATAAGCGTCTACATAGGGTAAACTTGGCGTATGAATGTTTCCGTTTTAAGGTTTAAAAATTGATTACAACTCTTTTTTAGGGAAAATTATTTATTGAAAAATTTAATATCCTCCTATTTTTCTTGCTACTTATCTTCCTATCCATATAAAATGATGACAAATATCTTAAAATATTATTAATTTTGTTAGATAATAAATTGATTGATCCTCAAAAGACAATTACATAAGAATATATAGAGAATACCTAAAACATAATGGCTAAACCCTAAAGGGCTTGGGCCTAAACCTTAATCACTAACATCCCCCCGCAGTTTGATCGGGTGGAGACGATTAAACTGGAAAAATAAACAAAAGAAGAAACATAAAAACTAGATGAATATAGCGGCATCGGCTGTGGTAGAGCTCTAACAATGGCGGCTAACATCGACTGCTTGTCGGAGAACAAGCGACAGCCATAGGTAATTTCATTGTAGAAAAAGAGAAGATTGGCGGTGACAACGATGATCATGTAACCATCGGCAGAGGAGTCCGGAGAAAATGAACGAGAAAGAAAGAGGGCTCAAGTTGCGGCGGACGGAGCCAATTCCGACAAGATTGGCAACAACAACATCAGAAGAGGCTGAATCGAAAAAGAGATCCGAAGAAATGGCCAGCCGAGGAGGAGACAGAAGGTTCAGGGGGTCATCTGAGGAAAAGGTAGAAGTAGACGAGGCAGTGGAAGAAACCGATGAAAGAGTTCTAGTTTGGTGCCAATGGTTGTTTTATTATTTAGGCGGAAAAGAGAAGAAAATGAAAAATATGGAACATTATGAAGGCACCTCCGACAACTATTAGAGAAGGTCGTCGGAGGCGGAAGGCGATGGCTGTGGGTTGTGGTCAGCAGCAGAGTTTTAATCTAGAGCTCTAATACCATGTTAGATAGTAAATTGATTGATCCTCAAAAGACAATTACATAAGAATATATAGAGAATACCTAAAACATAATAGTTAAACCCTAAAGGGCTTGAGCCTAAACCCTAATCACCAACAAATTTTATTAACATGTGACATTTGTTACTATTTCACAAAGATAAAAAGATAAGTAGGAAGAAAATAAAGATATTTAATTTCTCTTATTTATTATATGATTTTATATCAAAAAGTAAGAAAGAGAAGGATTTTCTAAAGAAAACTACATAATAAATTTGAAACTGTAATTGAAGACTAAGAAATAATGATATAAAACTCTTATAAATTGAAATCGAAGTATAACTGTTTTTATAAAAATGACAATTTTGACTTTTTTTGTCAATTTGGTCATAAAATTGCAAAAAATAGAAGTGCATACCTTCCATTTTATAAAAGGCTTTCAATTACAAGTTCTTTCTTAATATTTTTTCCTTATTTAAGCATTATACTACCATTTATGTTTGTGGTGGTTACCCATAGTTTATCCAAAGTTTTTATAATCCTCCCTAATAAATAAAGATCTTTTTGCCACATGTCACATTCTCATTTATTTTGCCACATGTAAATTTGTGGTTTTTTTAAATTAATTTTTATTCCACATGTCATTTTATGATTTTTTTTTTTCATTTTATTAAATTCCAAATAGTATTTAAATGCAATAATAAATGCATATCAATTCATAATGAACTTTCCTTCTAATTTCAAAATTACTAAACTAAAGATTCATTAATTATTTTTATTTATTTATCTAAATTATTTGTTTAAATTTAAATGGAAAAAAAATACTTTAATTTTTATAATTCAATATTTTCTCACTTTTCTTATAAATACAAACTTCTCAAATGCTTAGAATTTTGTATTTAGTTTTTCTTTTAAATAAACTCATGTAATACATGGGTCTTACACCTAATTTTTATAATATATCAACCATATAGTATACGAGTTTAAACCTGATAAACATAAGAGTTATTGTCACTGTAGCCCAACAAACTTTAGTATATTTGTTTAAATAGTCTCTCGTAGCTCTTTTTTTTTTGCATATAAAGGGCTTGTACTTGTAATTTTATGGTTTGAAATGTCATTTTTGCAAATTTGAAGGGGTTACGTTTTCACCCATATCCTTTTCTTCAACTGTTACTTGCACGAATCCTTTTCTTACACTGTTCGTCATTCAAATTGGCCAAAGGTTTGATCTCCATTTGCCGGAATGGTTGTTTTCATGAAGATAGATGTGACATCCCGGAATTTAGGTCAAAGATTGTGGACGGTAAATTCATAGTAAATCTCTTTGTAATTTGACTCATTGAGTTTTAGTGCATCTAATGTAAAATAAATGAGTTCATTTCATCTAATATAAAACTTCCAATTGTGGAAAATCTCAAACGAATCAATCAACTCAAACTGCAACCTTAGTTAATGCGTCTGAAAAATTAAAATTTCGTATTAAGCAAGTTGTGAACAAAGTAAACATTCTAGTCTTGTAGTACATGTTTCCTTGTTTCCGAAAATATAAGAACGTCCAAAATGGAGTTCGTACGTAAAAGATACGACCGTTTTAAGAATCCAAAGCAGTATAATACTGAGTTTCTTAAATCTACTAAAACCGTTTCTATCCGTTGAGGGACTTGTACACCTCGGATGGAAATTTTGAGAACGTTTTTGGACTCAGACTATAGTCCAATATTTAATTTCATACTTGAAATGATTTTATTAAAAATATTTATAAAAGTCAAAAAATCAGACATTTTGAAATAGTTAATCGCGAAACCTAACTATTGATTTCGACATGATTTCTGTTATTGGTAATGTATATCGGAAATGATGTAAAGGTCCAATATGATTGATGTGAACTTTAAAGATGGAAATGCCACAATATTTCTAAATCGGGTGCAACTATATAATTACGAGTATAAAACATAATTATAAACAATTAAAGGGGTGATTACTATATATAATATATCTATATATATATATATATATATAATATATAATATATATATATATATATATATATATATATATATTTTGTCAAATGGACATCAAATAACAACAATGTATGTTCGATATATATATTATATATATATATAAATATAGATATATATATATCTACATAATTAATGTAAACACCTACCTGGTTTGAGTAATGTTGGAAACTTGCAATGGAAAAGGTTCATGCATGGACTCGCGAGTTGGGAGCTCAACTCGTCGAGTAGGGTCGTATTTCAGGGGCACGAATCGGAAGTGACTCGGCGAGTCAGAAGGCTGACTCGGCGAGTCAGAAGGCTGACTCGACGAGTCAGCGATGTTTAATGAAACCCCTAATTTTTGGGTTTGCCCCTATATAAGCCTCATTAAATGCTCTTGTAGCCTCCCTTAGCATCATAAGAGACCGTGTACGACCGCAAACTCCCTAGTGTGTGAAGTGTGTGCATTTTAGAGCTTGATTTTGGGAATTTGGGAAGGAATCCAAGTTTGGAGAAGAAGAATCAAGGGGAAAACACTGGATCTAGCATCTAGTTCGTCTTGGGCATCAAATTGAGGTATGAATCTGTTACCTTAAGTCTATATTCTAATTGGGAGTTCATGACCAAACTTTGAGGAAATAGAAGCAAGCCTAGATCTGGACCTATCACAAGGATATGGTTCCAGATCTGGACCTTCTTAGGCCCCAAATATCATAAAGTTGCATCTTTTATTGAACTCATTCCCTCTCCATGCATAAGAACCTTGTTTGAAGGTTAGTTTTGGTGTTATGGCCATGTGAGGCTATGCATGCACATAAAGTTTGCAACTTTACGTGATATCTTCACTAGGAGAGTATGGATCTGAAGTTTGAAACCTTAAATCCCACTGGAAGGAACCGATTACGTGAGAACTCGACGAGTTGTGCAAGTGACTCGGCGAGTCGAGAGGGTTTTCTCGTTTACGGCCAAGGGTTTACGGCCAAGGGTGTACGGCCAAGGGTGTTC